ACACAGACAACCTCTCGTCAATATGCGTTTTTTGCATTGCATAACTGCAAAAAACGCATAAAAAAGCCAACTTAGCGGCACGAAATGCAACGCCGACGCCTAAGCTGAGCACTAAAAGCAAAAGGATATAGTCTAAAGATATTTTATGTACAGAATTTTCGCTAGGTCAAGTTTTTACATCTTTGTTAAAAATTCTTATTGATGGGCTAATCTCACCCTATTTTTGTTTCAGTTTTTTTTCAGTTTACTGTATTTTTCCAGGGACCCCAATCCACAGAATTTCATAGGAGATCGGATAAACGCACGAGGAGGAAACCTACCGAGGATGAAGCTGCGGAACAGCAACAGCAGGACGCGGATAAACGAACACAGGCATGTTTTGCATACAACACGCCTGTTTAATCATTTATCTGTGCGCTTTGCCTATGCAAATTATAAACATACTATGAGGGTTAGTGGTGCAGGGGGAAAGCAAGTGACTTTCCTTGCTTTCCTTGCATTTTGAATCGTACAAAAACAAACCATGGTGCAAGAAATTAAGCAAAAATAAAACATTCAATATAAAAGCGCAATTACGCTGATGCTTCACACTTGTTCTGTGTATTCCACTTATTAGCTTATTCTAGACTCGTCGAAAACGATTGAAAGTTGTGAAAGAAGAGGATGAGGTAAAGCAGGAAGAAGTTGAGGCAGAGACCGAAGGTAAGGACGACGGTGCTGAAAAAGATGAGACAGCAGTCGAAGAGGAAACTAGCAGAGAGGATGCAAAAATTAAAGAAAACGTAAGCTATCGTTTTAAAACTACTGCATTTTGGAAAAAGCACTCAGGTTTTTGCTTGTAAACTTTAGGAAGAGTCGCGCGAAACAGCGGAAGAGGAAGCGATAGAGGAAGAACATGAAGATGAGGAGGAAGAGCCGGCCGAAAAGAAACCTAAATGGAGGAGGAAACCTAGGACTATTCAACCATCTGCTGCTGAAAAAGCAAAACGTGTAAGTACCAATCATTTCGAATCAGCATCTTTTATCAACTTTTTCGTGAGTGTGTTTTTGCTCTATCATAAATTTATATGCAATCGAGTTTTTATCACTACAAGGAATTTCGTATAGATGGGACAGCCACTTATGCACCGCATCACATTGGGCTTTTTCACTCTAATTTTCGAGGATGTTTTACTTGTGCTGCACCTGGCCGAAACATCTCTCTGGTTAATGCTTGTAAATTAGAAATAAGTGGCCACGAAGGCTGGTCTAGAAAGTAATCTTAAATAGTTGTGATATCGCATAACTTCCAAGGTTCGTAGAGGGAAATTGCGCAGCATCTTAGTTTCTCACTATTTAATTTCGAAAATTTTTCCTTCCAAAAATATAATTTTGGCGATGCAGCTTGAATATTATCTTTATTAACTACAAAAGTTTGAAGGACATAAGTCAAAGGTAGCAATTTCGCCTCGTCCCTTTGAATAGATGTTTTGATCATCACTATTATTTTATTTGTATCCGTTATTAATTGGATACTTTCGGCCAACTTTTGGAATAAAGTCAGCGTTGCTACCGGAAGACCGACAAGCTGATAATCCCTCCAGGAGACGAAGCGAGTATCAGGATCATCATCAGACTGACTACCAAACGATGCAGCATTAGTCAAAGCGTCGGAAAATATTGCCAGATGCGTTGTTCGGAAACTAGACTGCGATTTGCAGCTGATGAAATATAATATTCATTAAAATCACATAAAGTGAGCATGTTTGTTCCAGGAATGCAAGCGTAAAAACTGCCCAACAGAAAGCAATCGGCATCCTCGGATGTCTCTACTAAAACAAATTCCAGTAAGCTTTTTCACTTTTTTTCAGTGATATCTATTGAGTATAGGATCTGTTGAGTACAGCATTGAGTACAGCTATTGAGTACAGCACTTTCGTAGAGTTTTACGAAAAACTGTAACAGCTTGTGCTGAAACGCGCTTGCTTTGTTTTGTTAATATTTCTTCAGAAGTTGCAGTGAAAGAAGCGAGAGATGAGGGGGAAACATAGAAGCTTAAGAGGATAACTTTTGCCGAATAAAATTCAAATTCAGCTAAAGGGCAGCACGGGGTAAAATTATGGAAGAAATTGAGGGAAAATTAGAAGTTGCGACGTGTTAAGGAGATTTATTCAAAATAATCTACTTGAAGCTCGCTTACCATGTTTTCGATGACCGCAGTCAAATTGCATTCTTGAGCTTACCTCTTTTTGTTATGCGTTTTGTGCTGTGTAACAGCAGCACAAAACACATATTTTCACGGGTTTGTTTCTGTGTGTGTGTGTGTGTGTGTGTGTGTCCGCAGCAACTTGTCCGCGACTTTCAACTCGGAAACCACGAAAGCTAGGAAGTTGAAAATTTAGGGGAATATTCCCCACCCACGTGTGACGCAACAAATTTAAATTCAGCCTCCCCGTGCCCGCGAGTAATAGGTACGGCTCTGTAAAGTATGAGAGGGTGAAGTTATTATTACGAGAACCACGGAAGCTAGAAGGCTGAGATTTTATGAGCATGTCCCCTGCCCATATGCAACTCAGAAAATTTAAATTCAGCCTTCTCCTCCCGCGGGTAACACGAAAGGCCCCGTGAAACTTTTTGTGGACAAATTATTACCTCGGGAACTACGGAATCTACGAAGCTGAAATTTGAGGGTAATGAATCTAAGAAGCTGAAATTTTGGGGTAATGAAATTTGAGGGCCCACGCACAACCTTGCAAATTCAAATTCAGCGTTCCCGCACTCTCGGGTATCACCTACGGCCCTGTGACGGGGAATTTATCTCAGAAACCATAAAAGCCGGAAATTTGAAATTTTACGGTAATTTCTTCTGTCCACGTATAATCCTGCAATTTTAAATTCAGCGTTCCTAAGCGTCCATGTATCACTTACGGCTCGGTGAATGTTTCGGCTGAGAAAATTATTATCTCGGGACCGCGGAATTAGGCAATCTGAAATTTTAGGGTGATATCCTCTACCAACGTGCTGCCTCGCAAATTTGAATTCAGCCTTCACGCACACCTGAGTACCACGTACAGCCCCTTGGAAGTTTTGATAGAGAAATTATCATCTAATGTGCATGAAATTTTTAGTGGGAAATCCCTCAGTTTAAGAACCAGACAGCATTTCAACTGTTTTTGTACAGATCAAAATGCAAAGCAGTGAAAATCGTTAGGAGGCAGTCGTTCGGCGGATGGAATGATGTGCGCCGCTATTTATTTTCTTTCTTTTTTTCTTTCTTCATTGCTCCTACTCTTCGTCTTTCCACATGTTCATTTTCACATCCCGAGATGGGGTACTGTACTAATGATTCCCACCCATCTCGCACCGCCACACGTTGTCTGTGCTTATAGCTCAGGAGTGAACCATGGGCAGATCGCCTGTCTATAACAAATACAGGCTTGCACACAAGTAAAGGTGGAATTTCATGCCGGAATGTTTTAAGTAAATTAGACATGATTGTTGCTCTTCGCTCTTCGTTTCTACCAGTGAATCTCGAATCGCTGATGATTTCACGCCGCTTCATCCTATCTCCTGATCTCACCGTTACGGTTACCGACTACTTGTTGCGAACACCCTTTATATTATCATTGATATTCTCCAAAATTTAATTAAAACTGCTTTGCCGCATTGGTGCCACATAAACCGGACCACTGTTCTGGAGTCCGATAATTCGACTCAAGTTACCTTTAATTCTCTTTTTCCCGAAAACTGTGCAAAATTTTTTAAATAACAAGTTTTTTTTTTATTTTGCAGCTCTCGATGTCAAATCGAAACAAACAACAAATAACGATGAATCTCTTGAATGAAGACGAGGATGAAGAAAGTGAAAATGAGGAAGAGGAAGATGAGAATGAGCCCACTGAGAACGAGGAAGTCTTTCACGAAAGCTCTAACGAAATAGCTGCTGTGAAGAAGGAAAAGTTCGTTGATTTTAGTTTTCCATACCAACTTGACATTTTTTTTAACATTCAGTTTTGCACCTCACATATAATTCACCTGCCATTTCTGAATTCGAAAAGATCCACAAAAACTAATACAAATGTGCAGTCGATGTGAGTTTTCGATTTTTGGACCACTTTTTGAAATTGCGTCAGAGCACCACTTTCTTTTTCCATACCTTAATTTTTAAATGCGTCCTTGAGCTCTTTGCAAGAAATTTTTTTTGAAAGAGCATTGTTTTTTAGCGCCCATTAAATAGTTGAGCTGTTTCTAGAAGGCGTTTGAGACATCTTTTCATTGTGATTTAGAAACCAAAATTTCGGTTCTGAAAAGCCTGCGTAAATTACGAGTGGTGCCTTTTTTTATTGCTGTGTGGTCTGCGATAACATCGAACGTCTTATCCAATTTTTCTAAATTATTTTAATATTTTGGCAGCTTATAAGCGCGATCAGTTGCTTTTGTTTCTCCTTTTCTGAGCTAAATGCCTCTTAACATTGGCCGGTACTATGTTCCTGTGCCATATCTTCGGAGGATTTTTCCTTCTCATCAGTGTCTGTTACTAATACACGACGTCCACCGATTGTCAGCAACGTGACCAATACGTCCTGCCTAAAACTTTACTTTTTTAATGGCTGCAACTATATTCTTCTTTTTTAATGGCTGTAATTATAACTTGTGCAGTGTCTGAATGACTGGACACTCCATCTTTCTTTCTCCCGCAGGGGGCCTCCGTTCTTCTGCATGTTAACCATGTGTACAATTACTATACGCATTGCTGTAAATTGCTAGGTTAGAGAAGCTCTTTTTCTACTATTTTTTAGTTTGAAAATTTCAAAAAGTTTAAGATACTTTATAGGGCTGATTTATTGGAACTCGTAACTGTAAGTGATTTTTTCGCTGCTAATAAAGCACCCCTTGGAATTTCAGGTTTAATGACCGAAGTGCTTATAAACGCCATGCAATAACAAATCGTGACGATCACAAATATCGGGAACAGCTGGATCGAGCTGATTTCCTCGTTGAAAAGGTCGGTAAAAAGCGTAGGCATTAATGAATGACGAAGGGCTAGATTGGTTGTTATCGCGCACTTAAAATGAACAGCGTGTCCAGGGCGATGAAAAAAGCTTTTCTTTACCACTGCTTTTGTTGCTTTGTACTGTGCAGCGTGAGAAAGAGCGAGCAATAATAAACATCTTAAATTGCTATAATAATTATACCATTTATTTTAAATGAGCGGAAAATCTCATTCTTAACTATTATTTTTTTATATAAAGCGTAGGTTTCAGTCTTCAGTGTTCTCAAACATACTTCGAATTTAGCTAATATTTGTTCTTTGAACAGCGTTTATAAGTCTGCTCATACCTGATAAGTAACTACTTAGCACTAAGTGTTGAATGGTATTTATGTTTCTGTTATCAAAACAACTCTTTGAATTATCATTTTGAGTAGTCTTGGGTGAATATGTAACTTGTCGACTGTTCAGCTTTCGCCCTGTAAAAAGTTCATGGCCAATCGAAATTTCATCTGGTCCTGATGATTGACCACTGATCACCATATGGATACGCCGCTGCTTTGTAGTTTGATAGCAATTTATTTTATTTCTGTCACTTGCATGTTTTGTAGAAATTAGGATTAGTTTGCGCAAAAGTTATCGTGTTATGTCGTTTATCATGCAAAACCATTCGGTTGGTACGGTATCTCAGTGTAGTTTAAGTGCGGTAGTGTTCAAGACAAGGTGCTGATGCTAAGCACATCCAATAACATCTCGAAACAGCTATAGCTCTACCAAGGGATTCTGCTAGGAGAAAACGGTTGAGCTAACAGTCCAAGAATGGGACGCCAGGATCGCTAGCAAACTGAGCAATAGATAGTGCACTACTGGACAGAAAAACTGGGAAAAGCTGTCGGGTGCAAATCTCGAAAACTGCAATTTATATTCTATAATATCCCTGATAAGTGTTGATTGAAATGGAGGAGCTACAAGTAAGGCAAGACGAGGAGGGGAAAGGAGGGACGTGGATGTAACGCAGATGGAATTTTTCATCGTAGATTAGCTAGTATAGGAATTAATTTAATACGCATGCTTGTGTTTATTATATTTTTGTTGTGAATTATATTTAATGCTGTTTTTTGAAACGAATTTTGTTCTCCCTTCATTCATTTGCTTATTTCATTTACTTTAATTTGTAGCCGCTGGCGAACTTGGTGTAATGGCTAGTAGCTCGATTTCTGAAGCGAGGTTTCATCATCCTTGTTCTGTTTATTTCTTGTGACTGACGATGCGGAACAAAGCGCCTGCCATGAAAGTTGCCTATATAAGGCAAGGAAGACAGCTGAACCGACATCGAATCTGCAGGACAGTAGGCCTAGGTTTGGGGCTTGTATAAGTAAATTTTTATTGACCAGGCCAACGGCTTCGTTTGGACGAGAAACTGATATTAAAGCATGCCACGGAATCAGATTTTCATCGAATTGCTCCTAAACAGTTTCTTAAAGTTCGCCTTCCCAGTGAATATTTTTTGTTTGTAAAGAGCTTCTGTACAAGTTCTTTCTGAATGCCAGTGCATTTTATAAAAAGTAAATTTTGAGGAGAATGATTTAAACCTGATTCTGTGTTAGGTACACTGTAGTGTGCACGCAGTCAGTCTGCGAACTGACACCCTTTTTTTTCAGTGATGCTGCATTTTATTTGCAGTGCAGTATGCTTTCTTGCTGTTGTTTACTTTTGTATTATCAATACACATATCAGTTAAGAGACCTCCCCAAGGAAAACATAAGAAAAAATTTGTCTTCGTCTTGTTGGAAACTAAGGAACATGGAACTTTTTTCGTATTTTTCGTAATTCCTAAAGCCTCTGGGAAAAAAGTTTCTTTTGCGTGTTCGTTAACTGTTGTAGTTAGGCACCTGTAGCAGAAGATGGAAAGAATCCTTGTCTAAAAGTAAGCCTTGAGAGTCTTATAAAATCTCTACAATTCACCTCTTCAGGTTCTTTTGGTAAATTCTTCAGAATCCAGCTCATTTGAGGACCAGTGAGTTCTTTTGCTGTGGGATCTTTTTTTTGTCTTCTCAGAGTTCTATTTTTATTGTATCGTCCAGACACCTGATAATCACTGATAACGGGTTGTGTTGTATTTGTCCCTAACACCTGTGTGTGTTAATTCATCATTAGATAAAACGACATTAATAACTTTTGTGCCGAACATATCTACAAATCACTGCTTCTTTCACTTATTTGCGTTACCGATTCAATTCTTAACCGACTTCCATCGCTTGGGTAGAAAATAGTACTCAAGATTCATACCGTTTCTCAAACTGCTTGAAGGCTTATTGTTTTTGCAACATAAGAGGACTCAAGGCATCTTGTTATGTAACTGATCGTAAAGGGCTCGTATTACCGGCCGCGTTCCGTTTTTCAACGTAATGCATGAAGTGGAGTGGATTTTCTCTGATTTCTAGAATCATCATAAGCACTATTGTCGGATGCTAGTTTGTGACTGGAGCCTTTTTTTCGAAAATTGTTATAGACCGAAAGGGAATCCAATTACATCGCTCTTCACATTTGAACGCATCCTGTCACCACTGCACCACCAGTCCTTGTGCTTCACGTTGAACCTTTTTTCTTTGCTTCCTTTCGCAGGCAGTATACATCTCTTTTTATGCGTTTTTGCCGTGCAGCGCTAGAGCGCTGCAGTAGGCAGCAAAAACGCATATTGCAACG